GGGGCCTGATTCTGGTAGTTTCAAAGAGGGTGAGGACTCTGCAGGTGACTGGTGCAATGAAATGGACTCTTCTTGTTCCTGTTGGTCACATGGTTTGGACTCTCTTACGGAGCTGGTGTCTATATCTGTGTCATCACTGTATCCTTCAAACGACTCTGCTTATTTAAAGAATGAAGGGATAAAGAAAAAAGTTTAATGAAAATTTGAAAGAATTCTAGATTAGTTCTAGAATCTTCTTAACAAAATAGTTTTGTGGGGGAAGCGGAGCAGCCTTTCAGGTGCTCTTAAACAAGCAGTAACATAAAACAGCCTGAAAAAAGATACGCTTGTAAAGAGGGTTCAGTCATGGTACAAATAAACTATAGAAAAGCAAATGTATTGTTTTGGAGGTTTTGACAGATCCATATTCTGGAACTATATTTCAAATCAGTTCTTAAACATGTACAATAGCTAAATAAAAAATCATTTAAAATATTTTTTTTATTAAACATATATCAATTTAAATATAAAAATTATATTAATTTAGAAATATACTGTATATACTGTATATTCCCCCCCCCCAAAAAAAATTGTTCCTATTATGAGTGTGCATCTAACTGTTGCTACTGTTATGGCTTTAGTGTAGTACATTTCACATTACTTGTACCACGTGCATAATTTTCGTGTACAATTTTTGCTGTGCATCAATTTTTACTGTCTAGTATCTATAAAGTAGGTCATTTCTTTATTTATACTTCATAAAATGCAAAAGTCATTAAAAGTATGTGCTAACCAGGCATAGTGAATTAAATTAGCTTTTTATTATTTCTGTAGTGGCAAACTACAAAGTCTCGCCCCTTAGTGAAATCTTACTGGTTCAGAATCTTACACTATGTAGCAAATATGTTGGGATTGGTAGTGATTGTTTGCATTGTGCAGCATTATTGCTTTCTGTGTGGGCAGATAAATTACAATGTGAAAACATGTCATGTTGTGCCTGGCTAGGACACGGTTTAAGTTAGATACTAATTGGCAAAATATATAAAACAGGCAAACTAAAACAACTGCACATTATTTCCATAGCATAACCAAAAACAGAAAAAGTAAACTGCAAAATATACAAACAAACATTAAAAACACACTATTAATCATGCACAGCCTGCAAATGAAATAACCGACAAACAAATATTTTATGCTAATGAAGGCCATCAATTGTCATCAGGGGCGGTGCTACCTTTAACAAACCCCGCCTCCTCTTCATCAAGCCACACCCCTGAAAGCCGTTCCCTCTCCCAAGGGCAGTATTCACCCTCTATACATACACATGTCAACACACCTCAAAATACACACACATACAGTGGGGAATACACAACAATAAACATACAAACAAGCATGACAACATTCACCTCACACACAAACACACAAACAAACATATTGTGGAAATATGATACAAAAATAGATAAAGACAGATATTAAATTGAACAATACCTCATCTTAAGATGATTTTTATGAAATAAACAAGCTATATAGTCAAAAACTATGTCAGATGTCTTTGCCCATTTTATCAGAGCCATTTTTAAAAGAAATTGAATAGAAACAAATACCCACCATCACTAGAATCTCCCTGTTCTTCTTCTGAAACTTCTCCCTCTTCTTCCTCTTTCTCATCCTCAGCCTCCTCCTCCTCTTGTTTTTCCTGGTTCTCTCCTCCCTCCTCCTCCTTTAGCTCCTTCCCCAGGCCTAACTCTCTCTCTCCATTGGTCCTAATGTTCGGCCCCTCCTCCTTCTTCCAGGCAAGCTCCTCCTCATCTAGGTCTGACTCAGAGCTACTGAAGACCCAAAAAGGAGACAGATTTAGCCAGGGAAAACATGCCAGTAAATATTAGGAGCATAACAGGAGTATGTTTGGATACCTGGACTGCTCCTCTGTGTTCTTCTCCTGCAGGCTAGCGCTGAGGTTGTGCTGTGCAAGCGTCTCCTCTGGGACCTCCTGCAGTGGGCTGTCCTGTTGCTTTGGATAGGGTTTGTAGTTCTCCAGCTCAATGCGTTCTGGGGTACCACACAATCTCTTGGCCATGCTGGATACCATGTCTGGGTGGGCGATGGAGGACCAGCTGTCTGGTGGGGTGGCTGTGCCCACTGACCCTAGAGAGGACAAAGACGTGGAAGCCGAAGATGGAGCAGGGGGAGCCTGAAGAGACAGAAACACACACAAGTCTGCATTACACATCAATAAATGCAACAATACCTTTTTAATCGAAGAAATAGATATCACAACATTTCTATGATTTCCTTTCCATTTTTATTTATATAATGGTAAACTAAATTATATAAAAATATTTTAAATAAAATACATATGTTTGAATGCAGAATAAACAAATGATAGAGTTTTATATACACATATATGTGTGTAAATATATATACAAAAATATATAAATATTTATTACATAAAATATAAATAAAATAAATAAAAATGTTATAAATACATAGGTTATACTATTTTAAAAAATTGCTTCCTATTTTTACATAAAATTATTCACAAATCTGCCTGACATATATAGTCATTATACTGATAATGCGTGTGTACTATAAAACATACATTTTTAAATTTTATATATATCTAAAAATAGGCACATAGAGGATCTGAAAGAAGTATAATAGTGATATTGATGAATGATGAGGTTACCTGAGTACCTTTCTGTACCTTTACCTTTCTCTGAGCCATTCTGAAGCTGAAGTGGTGCTTACAGTAAAACTTTCCTGTACAAACCGAAAGAAAGGATAAGACGTGAGGGAGCGGGAAAATAAAAAAGTAGCTGATGTAGGGAGTAAATGTCTTATTTATACCATTGCTTAAAGTCTGTCTGAATGCCGCCTCTTTTTTTAAACTTGAAGTGTTCGAATCATGTGATCTATATGACCCTATATGTTCCACTTACACATTTTTGGTGTTTTGATTCCTATTTAAAAAAAAATGTTTAAAAGGCATTTTGCTGAGGGCGTTCAATTTGTGTGTGTGTGTGTGTGTGTGTGCCCTACTGTCATTATCGGACAACAATAAGGGCCCTGTCCCAACAGACACATATTTCAGACCTTATGACTGTGCAATGGTAACAAAAGAGCAGTTTGTTTGCCGAAAACAGTTGCCTACAGGAACACAGAACAACAGGGCATTTTCACACACTGTATCACCCATCGTGAGACAACATCCATTAAAAGCTAAACACCTATTGTTTTTGATATGAGCATAAAATCTTAAAAACATTAAGTACTGAGAATGTTCATTTTATTAGTAAAAGTATGAAGTGGTTAATCGTACACACACACACACCATGTAGCTGGTCGTAAGCGTAGTTGGACAGGCGTAACGTGGAGCTGCAGTAGTCACACTGGAAGCAGCTCCTGTGGAAGAACTTTCCCTCCGCGCTCAGCCTTTCCATGACATAAACGCGACGGCCACAGAAATAACACACATCGCTGCCGCCCATATTCACAGGAAACTCCTTTTGAGAACCCTACAGAGTCAAAAGAAAGATGCTTAACATGGGCAATTACAGCTGTCAGGACAGAACTGGGGTGACAGTGTGCGTTCAATAATTTTTATATTATTATTATAATTATTTTATTTATTTTTTGCAAATCATTTTATTATTTAATATTTTATATTACATTTTATTTTATTTTTTCATTTTAATAAATACAAAATGATATTAATATATTAAATAAAATATGGCTAGCATAATGAAATGCTTCAAACAAAGTCTCAGATTTCATCACATTGCATAGAAACAAGTTTGATCATGACAATAAATTACATTTGATTGCAGCACTTCCATGTACAACACTTTGGGTGTGATCAGTCTAACAAAGCCGTAAAGCATTGAGCCTTCTTAGAGAAACTGGATTACAGCAGCAACTCACACACTCACAGTAATTAGTAAATATAACACCAAACAAAAGTCAGCGCTGGGTTACAGACCTCATACACACAGTAATACAGGTACTAAAATGGACACAAGAACATTCACAATGTTAGGGAAGATTTGTCGGCAGCACTACAGGTGAACTCTTACCAACTCCCTCCTGTGAAGGAGCTTGGGAGCTTGATCCTGCTGACTCTGAATCTGATTGGCTATCTGCTGAGCCAATGAGCTCACTCCGCCCCTATACATCTGAATGTAGCTCTACAAATCAAAAGATGAGCATGGAAAACAAGCAGGAATGCAAAATGCTTCAGAGATGAAAACCATCACAAAGACAAAAGAAATGATGTATCAATATTCATATGAGAGCATAAAGGTGTGGAAATGACAGATTGGTCTTAGAAAAAAGAGAAAGGCAACAAAAATGAATACTATAAAGATAACCATAACAACAGCTATATTAATGTCCACACCAATGGGCAATAATTTATTATATAAGCACGCTCTTCAGTTATGACGTCTGCCGCTTTAAACACTTGAGTGCTTTAAAGTCTAATTGGTTTTTGATTGGATTTTGGCTGTAAATGTTTTTATCGTTCATCAACTAGGAAAAAAATCATTCTGAAAGTGATTTTGACAGTGAAAGTGTATCTATCTATCTATCCATCCATCCATCCATCAATAAATCAATAGAAATAAACCTGTTAGTCAAAGGCAAAGTCAGTAAGAAGCATAGAGGATTAGATAGAGATAATAAATCATTCTGTCTGAGATTCTTCAGTTAAGATCCTCAAATCACATGTCCCATGGCCTCCAGTCACTGATAGGCTTTAGAGCCCCAGGCCAGTTCACACACAGAGCTCCTTCATAACAGTCCCAGAGACCAAAGAAGCTTAAAATAGAACCAGATTAGCCATTAGTATACAAAAGTGTACACTACTAGACTTTTTTATCTTATAGCACAGGTGTGTTTTTACCTTCTCGCTTCAAATTGGCAGAGTGTGAACTTTGACCTTTTTCTTGTAGCGGAAACTCATCAGCTCCTGCTGTGTTGTGTGCTTTTTCTTAAGTAGGGTTGGTGGACATCAAAATGTTAATTCATTGTAGAGTAAAAATTCCCGGTGCAGTCTTCTAATGCCGCAGTTGTCACTGTCAATCACCTAAATGGCTTTTAATCTAATAAAACGCCTTATAACTGCCTAGAGGCTTTGCCAATTCTAGTTCACCCTGTTAAAGTGTGTATGCTAAGTTTGTGCATGAGCCACTCTATGAATCAGCAGCTTTCGCTGATAGGCAAGGTAAGCTAATTCACTCAATATTAGGAAAACATAACAAAATCTCATGACTAACAGAGGCATTGTGACATTTTATCACAACTAAAGCAAAATACTCCATCTTTTATCAAACATGATGATTTTTTTTAAAAGTGACTATAAGACTTGTTAATAAAGTCAGATTGACACAATGAAGCATTAAATCCTTTCTCCTGCTTAGTTTTTTTTTTTTAAAGAAAGCAACTTTGAAAAAAAAAAAAGTTGTGTTGCACCTCGTCAGGACATGATGTAACTTAACTTGAAAACAAATATATGTATGCACAAGCAAACACACCTTTATACTGTACATGTAAAAGCACACATGCATCACACAAATACTCACACACCTGTCGGCGTGTTGCAGTGGCTGAGGCCGACAGTGAGTTCTCCTCAAATTTAGCCAGCAGTAGCGTTGCCATGGACCGAACCCTGCTGTGACCCTCAGCGACCTTTGGTTCTGAACCAGGAGTTGCTTCTGAAGTATTATTTTCTTTGGTATCATGAGGAACGTCCTCCTAATAAAATATCACAGATAATCAACATAAACTTTATGCTTAATAGATGAAAAAACTACAGTATATATACTATAGTGTATATACAGTGGGTACGGAAAGTATTCAGACCCCCT